ATATGAATATAAATAACTTACACTTTTTTCTTTACCATATATGAATTCAGAATGAAATCTGATCAATTAATGTTATTAATCATAATTTTCGTAAAAATAATAGAATGCTTTGAGGAATTTTTTTTGTGTGCATATTTTTCAATTGTTAATGTTGAAACAGTATAGAGCCACTTGCAATTAATGCTGATGAAACTATATTTTGAATTTAGAAATTAGAAACTATATAAATTTGTATATGGGCTTTGGCTGCCCCTGTATCTCATTGGATCATAATGAGACCAGGAGCAGCAAGTAATCACAATCACACAATTGAACTATTAAGCTTACATCACATGATTAGACTAAGAGACTAAACTACTAATTTTTGTCACCATGGTTATGTAAGAAGACAAATTGCAAATTTTGGTCGTCTTGATTACCTAGGTTACTTATTAGTCTCACCAAATAAAATTTATTTAACTTGATTTGGTCCGATTGATTTTTTTTTATTATATTATTTTTTGTTAACTTACCTTTTATTTTTTATTTTTACTGTCTAATTTTTTAAGAATAAATAGTAAAAATATAAACTAAACCTATAACTTATATCCATAAAATATAAGAAACTATAGCCTGTAAAATGAATTCGGCAAATGGTTGTGTTGTAGATTCGACCTTAAGGTCACCTAACAAGGTAGATTGTGAAATGAAGGGATGGGGCAAAACGTTCCAAATGGTTGGAGACAATGATGATCGTTCCAATCAGTTCCTTTCACAACTAAAAGAGATGAGGGATGGGCATTGGTCGCCTCGTCTAGATAGATGGTCTATGTCTCTTTGCTTCCAAATTCCACTCTTTTATTGCCTAGCATATGACTTGGACACTGGTCTTCTTCTGCTTCAATGCTTTTAATGGGACTATCCCTTTTATTTTTAGGTTTTGGCCCGCCCGATCGTTCAACCTTATTGAATGTTGATGTTATCACCAGAAAAAGAAATTATTTTTCCTGGCGTTTTTTGCTTGGAAATAGCCTACACAAGCAGCAGTTACTCTCCATGGAAATTGAAGTTTTGTTATATTAGACACAATTGATTGAATAAGACCTGCATATTAGATACCTGTACAGAGGATAGGAGGTCGGGGTTTGAAGGGGAGAAGCCGAGAAGGCATAAGCAGAAAGATGGTGCGTACCGTTTCAATAAATGCCTTCCACAACTACAACTAAGTGCACCGTTTAACTAATAGAGTTTTTAGAACTTTAAAAGTTCGTTGAAGTTTAATTATTAGTTAGATTAGCATTAGCTTTTCCTTTTATTCTCTCTCTAACTGACAGAGACCCTGTATATAAATACAATTGTAAATACGCTTTTTGGTTGCATGAGAATTTTCTGATATTCTGTCACTCTCATGCGCCGCCTCTTCCTCTTTCTTGCCCTGCATTCATCATGTTAGCTAATGAATATTAAAAGCCAAATCAGTGTGAAAAAGTAGCGTCATGGCTTATGTTTCTGCATCCTAGATTTGTCTTCTTTTGTAGGCCAAATTCGAATATTCAAACATGTTTTCGGCTACTTCAACAAAACAGGGTAGTACGTGAGCAATGCTGTCATCAGAAGGCACGTGGTGAAGACCCAGGCACTCCCTTGACTTTGAATCCTATTGATATAATCTCAACTACAAAAGCATGGGAAATTGCCAGCCTGACCGTCGAGCGTTCAGACGGCTGGTGCATGCAGCAGTCCTTGAAGTTATCTCAGAAACGTTCGGGTACGGTGCTTTTTCCTTGGGTTTTCTTTACGAGTTTTCTGAAGATAGCAGCTTTAAGCTTCTTCTTCATTGGTAATCCTATCCGAATTTCAGCGTTCTTTTTCTTTGAGTTTTCTTTGAGTTTTCTTGCTCTGCCAATGGAATTGATAATTTCCCGTGTGTGTAATTCCTCCCCAGATTGCACGCACTTGTAGTTCGCTGAAATCCCAATTGGAAATCCTCAGTGTTGTGTTTGTTTTATACCCATGCACCATGCTGGATCAATTTCAGAAAACATATATCTCTTTTGCTTGGGTGATGATTACTTTGAATATTTATTAAAGCATAGTGATTCTTATTGCTTTCAAAACTATACTTGAAACTATCGGAGCAAATTGGCTTAAAAGTGACTAATTAAGAAGGATCCTTTTCAATTTTAAGAAAACTGGTTGCTTGCATAGAACTGTTCTCAAGAATTATAGTGGAAAGAAATCACAATTCACTAAAGATTTTGTTGTTTTAACAGTAGTACTTCAGAGTTACATCATATAAGCATTTGTACTGATTCCAAGTCAAGCATCTATTTGAGTTGTCTATACGAAATCTTAGTAGTATTTTGCAGATAATTTAAACCCTCCCATACAACTAACTGTTTTCTTATTTTATTACTTTTTGGAATTTTGATTCGATTGAAATATATAGTTAACTTAGAAGAGATTATATAGTCTGATTCAAGATGTTCAAATTGACAGGAAAATGAAAATTTATAATCAAGGACAGTTACTTTGGGTTGGAATTTTGTTAACACTATGTTTACCGCATTCGCAAGCAATTTGGGGAAAGGAAAATAAGATAAAAACTGCTGTTTTTCTATCACCTAAGTTTGTGCTCGGGCCAGGATCAGTGGAAAATAAATTGTATTACAATATTGACTTTCCAAAAGGTCATATTGCCTTGAAAAGTTTCAATGCAGAAGTGATTGATGAGGCAGGCAATCCTGTTCCTCTCCATGAGACTTATCTCCATCACTGGGTTGTTGCAAGGTACTTTGTACGTAAAGGTGTGGAAATATCAGAGTTTAATGAAAGTAGAAAGCTTCACAGGTCAGATTTTATTTCTGGGAGAAATAGTGGGATTTGTCAGGGTGGAGCTCTTGATCAGTATTTTGGCCTTGGGTCTGAGACACGAAGAACTGCAACTCATGTTCCTGATCCATATGGAATAGAAGTCGGTAATCCTTCTGAGATTCCTTCGGGTTTTGAGGAGATATGGGTGCTTAATATTCATGCAATTGATACAAGGGGGGTGGAAGATAAGTTGGGATGTACTGAATGC